ACGTAGGTTCAAAGTAAGTGAATTATAGGTTTAAAGAATAGGTTCAAAGCTAGATTTATACCACGTACTTTTTCAAAATAGGCCTAAAGTAGATTGAAAATAGAGTAATAATAGTTTCAAAAGAGATTCAAAGCAGATTTAACCTAACTCCAAAGTAGATTTAACCTAGGTTCAAAGTATAGGTAATATATATTGTAAGTATAATAGATTTAAAGTAGATTTATTATACAAATTCAAAATAGGTTAAAAATAGATTTATCCAAGTTTCAATATAGGTCCAAAATAGTTTCAAAGTAGATGTATAATAGTTTGAAAATAGTGTCTGGAAAGTGACTTACAGGTTTGAATTAGCACAAATTTTGCACTAGTTTTGGCAAACAATATACTGGCTTACTATTTTTATTCAGTACTAGTTTAGGTACTGGCAAGTAGTACCTGTGCTTTATACAAGCTAACAGTATTGATTTATTACTACGTTGGTACTGCCAAACAGTACTGGCCGCATACTGGTTAACAGTATAAATTATTATTAATACGTTGGTGCTGGATAAAAGTATTTATTTACCATTAATTTATTACTGGCTGCATATACTATGTCTTACATTGATTTACGACTACTTTGGTACTGGCAAAAAAGTACTGGCCGCATACTGGCTAACAGTATTGATTAAACATAAATTTCCTACTAAGTAACTATAAGTTTTAAACAGTACTAATATTATGCTTAATATATGCATGTACGTACAAGTGTATATACATATATCTGGCATCAGTTGCAACTGGCACAGGAGAGAAGAGAGAGAGAGAGAGAGAGAGAGAGAGAGAGAGAGAGAGAGAGAGAGAGAGAGAGAGAGAGAGAGAGCTACGACTACTGTCATGGGCTCGCGCCAACCGCGACCGATTGTAATTGAACGCGGTCGCTTAATCACAGGAGAGACCCGCCTGCCTTCCTCTGACAACACGCGGGGATTTTTTTTTCCTTCTTGTTGCATATATATATATATAGATATATATCTGTGTGCGGTATACTTTCAGGTGTACACCAGAATGCGGTGAAATCGATTTCTTCTTGCCGCCACCGATGCGATAGGCCTCACTCTCAATTCCTGTTATTTTCAACTTCTGTGTATACTTCCTCAATTATTATGTGATCTCACCGCGGAAATTTTTTTTCTCTCTCTCTCTCTCTTTTTTTTTATTGAAATATGGATGCGCGGATGAGCCGCCGTGTCTCCACAGAGAGATATTAATTCTGTCCCAAAAAAGAAAAAAAAACATTTGCCTGCTTTTGACTTATTCTTAATGTAAAAAAACGCGGGGGGATATGATTTTATTTTATTTTCTTTCAACATTATATTTTTGCTAAAAACAATACTGTCAAATTTAAACTTTGTATACTGTCAGACAGTACTGATTTAGCAGTATAGATTAGTACTGGCAAACAGTACTGTCAAACAGTATGGATTTAGAATTATAGTTAAATACTTGCTAACAGTATTTATACTTAATATTATAGTTAAGTACTGGCTAACAGTATTTAAATTTAATACTAATTCAAAACTAATTTTACACTACTTTAGTACTGTCTGACAGTATTGATTAGAAAGTATTAATTTAAAATTAGTTAAATACTGGCTAACAGTACTGGCTAACATTATTGATTAGAAATTATAGTTTACTACATGTTACAAATATATTTATTTAACACTATAGTTCAGTACTGACATAAAGTACTGGCAAACAGTATTTATTATGCAGTAAGTTAGTACTGGCTTTATACTGAATATCAGTATTGTTTTCGCATTAGTTTGGTACTGACTAACAGTACTGGATTTATATACTGAATAACAGTATTTATTTAGCACTATAGTTTACTACTGGCAGACAGTATTTATTTGAGACTAACTTTGTACTGGAAAACAGTACTGGTTCTAAAATGGCTAACGGCTACTAACTTACTGTCGTTGATTTAGAAACAGTTCAGTACTGGCTATATACTGGTTAACAGTATTGACTTGGCACTTATTTAGTACTGTCAGACAGTAATTAAATAAGACTAGTTTAATACTGCTTTTGTACTGGCTATCAGTATTGTTTTAGACCCAGTTTAGTATTGGCAAACAGTACTGTCTCACAGTACTGATTAGACATTACTTTAGTACTGTCTAACAATACTGTTTTTATACTAGGCTAGCAGACTTGACTTACCACAACTTTGGTACTGGCTAACAGTATTAACTTTTAGCACTAATTTAGTATTGGCAGACAGTAATTATTTAGGACTAGTTTAATACTGGCTTTGTACTGGCTAACGCAATTTTTGCTATAGTGTAGTACTGGCAAACAGTACTGGTTGTTTAGTTGTCAGTTTACTACTGACTAACAATACTGCCTTTATACTGGCTAGCAGAATTTACTTACCACAACTTTGGTACTGGCAAAAAGTACTAGCTGTATACTGGCTAAAAATATTGTCTTGGCACTAATTTAGTACTGGCAGACAGTAATTATTTAGGACTAGTTTAATACTGGCTTTGTACTGGCTAACGCAATTTTTGCTATAGTGCAGTACTGGCAAACAATACTGGTTGTTTAGGTGTCTGTTTACTACTGGCTTTATACTGGCTAGCAGAATTTACTTACCACAACTATGGTACTGGCAAAAAGTACTAGCTGTATACTGGCTAAAAATATTGTCTTGGCACTAATTTAGTACTGGCAGACAGTAATTATTTAGGACTAGTTTAATACTGGCTTTGTACTGGCTAACGCAATTTTTGCTATAGTGTAGTACTGGCAAACAGTACTGGTTGTTTAGTTGTCAGTTTACTACTGACTAACAATACTGCCTTTATACTGGCTAGCAGAATTTACTTACCACAACTTTGGTACTGGCAAAAAGTACTAGCTGTATACTGGCTAAAAATATTGTCTTGGCACTAATTTAGTACTGGCAGACAGTAATTATTTAGGACTAGTTTAATACTGGCTTTGTACTGGCTAACGCAATTTTTGCTATAGTGCAGTACTGGCAAACAGTACTGGTTGTTTAGGTGTCAGTTTACTACTGGCTAACAATACTGGCTTTATACTGGCTAGCAGAATTTACTTACCACAACTTTGGTACTGGCAATAAGTACTAGCTGTAAACTGGCTAAAAATATTGACTTTGCACTAATTTAGTACTGGCAGACAGTATTTATTTAGCCCTAATTTACTACTGTCTCTATACTGGCTAACACTATAGTAATAATATTATACCTTTTGTTCTCTATTAAACTAATATTCGAACTATACTAACATTTAGTATCCTCTTACTGTCATTGTATCAGTACAATATTTAACCAAATTTACTTTAATATTCCAGTATTACTTCCTGTATTTTTCGACGCTAGACGCTAGTTCCTATATCGGTACTGAATTAATAATGATGATTTATCACATATAACCATAGATTTTAGGCAATTTGTTTTAGATTTACTGGTTTTTCACTATACGCGTTGTCACAAAGTGGCAAAATTCGGCTCTCGCACACTCTGTGTTTGGGATGTATATAACGCGATTGCCTTTTTACGGGCCACACGGGTGCGGCTCAGTGTTTACTCGACGTGTTGTAAGAGATTAATTCTGTCCAGGCGCCCTCATTTTTTTCCTCCTTTCTCTATCCGCACTGTTGCTCTTATAGTAAGAGAGAGAAAGAGAGATGGGGGGAGGGGGAAAGAGAGAGATTCCGCATTCGCAGTAATTGCTGTAGGAAGCCACGATTTTTCCCTCTTCTTTTTTTTTGAAGAAAAAAGAAATCTTTTTTGTTCATATATATACACTGTTAGAAAAAATTGTAAATTTACAACACTTTCATACAGAAAATGATTGAAAATTTCAAAAATTTGTATATGAAATAATTTCAAACACAAATGTTTGAAAGTGTTGTAAATTTACAATATTTTAATACAAAAGTGTTTAAATAATTCAAAATTTTTTTTATGAAATAATTTCAAACACAAATGTTTGAAAGTGTTGTAAATCTACAATAGTTTAATACAAAAATGTTTGAATAATTCACAATTTTTTTTATGAAATAATTTCAAACACAAATGTTTGAATGTATTGTAAATTTACAACACTTTCATACACAAAGTGATTGAAAATTTCAAAAATTTGTATATGAAATAATTTTTAATACATATGTTTGAAATTTTTGCAAATTTACAACACTTTAATACAGAAAATATTTGAAAAATTCAAAAATTTGTTTATGAAATAATTTCAAATACAGTTGTTTGAAAGTTTTGTAATTCTTTAACATTGTCATACAAATGTGTTTGAAAATTTCAAACAATTTTATATAATATAATGTCATATACAAATATTAGAAAGTATTATAAAACTACAACATTTTAATACATAAAATTGTCTTAAAGTTTCAAGTATTTATAATGAAATTTGTAAATTATAATAAATATTTATAAATAATATTAAAAAAATAACCTAACGTATGTTCATAATCATCTTTTGAAAGTACAATTTAATTTGTTTAACAAACAGATAAAGTTAACAAAAATAATTTTTTGTTCTTAATTAAGAAAACTTATTTCAGTGTACAATGCAAATGATGTTAAAAGCACAAAATCACATTTTTAAATTATGATGAAAATTGTAAATAAACACTACAAAAATTATTTAGTTTTAGAAAAGATTTTATACTCTATAGTAAAAATTTTTCATTCTACAATAAATATATAAAATATTTGAAATATTTTCTCGTTTTAAAAGGATTCGCGCACATCTGGTTCGTCTTAGGATGCGACCACCTATAGGGGTTTCTTATTTCAAGAGGACCTATTTTATGAGTTTTTCGGTACTAGTTTTTTTCTTATAGATTCGTTTATACTAAAAGTTTGTGAATTCTTTCGGTTTGGAATATTCACAGGAAATGTTGGAAAATTGTAAATTTTTTTGAGAGACTTTACTCAGAAAGGCCTTCTCAGCGTCAGTTGCTCTTGAGCATTTGCCCAAGAATATACTGATTGAACCAGCGTTAAAACTGTTTAAAATAAAAATTATTGAAGTGAGTTAAAAAAGTAAATTAAATTAAGTAAATTAAAGGACTACATAATCAAGGTAAATAAAATTAATAATAATAATAATAATATTTCATTTCATAGAATTTCGATTTATCATACTTCAGCATAACTTAGGTTTTTTTTAACAGTACAGTACTCTTTACTGGAAAATTTTCTTTTTATTTCTTTACATCTAATAAATTGAATCTTAAATTTTCAGGTCAATTATTATAGGATGAAAATACGGAATTCTTTGTTATTTGCTTATATTATGTATTTGGTTATGCCATCCTAAAAATTGAAGAAAATCTTGGAATTTTTTCAGAGGTAAGACTGCATTTTTGGATAAAAGCATGTTTTTCTATTATATATCCTGTATATATTTACAGTTATAATCTTTTTCAGGGATTTATGAATATAAATTCAGCAACAAGGAACAAAAGGAAGGATTGAGTAAAAATACCTAACTTTGATTATAAATTAAGCGTCGTATATAATTTATAAAAATTGAAAATTTTTAATCAATGTGTAATGTTTATAACTAAATTAAGATTTTTGTCTTGCTGAGATTTTTACTTGAAAATTGTCAAGTCCTTATGTACTGTAAGTTTGTTAAATAAATATGGTGAATAAACATTTTAAAACTATATGTTTCTAATTCATTTCATTTGAAATAGCCCGTTTAATGCGAAAAAAATATTCTGAAAAAAGTACAAAATATTTTTAAAAGATTAAATTAAAATGTACGGTATTTCAGACAAAAAATTTGAAATTTAAAATCAAAATGTTTGAAATTTCAAATAAAAATAAACTGAATTTCTAATAAAAGTATCTGAAGTTTTAAACAAAAATGTATAAAATTTCAAACAATAATTTTTAAACTTAAGATAAAAATATTTTGGATTTCATACAAAAATTTATGAAATTTCAAATAAAAGTGTATGAAATTCAACACAAAAATGTATGAAATTTCAAATAAAAGTGTATGAAATTCAACACAAAAATTTATGAAATTTCATATAAAAGTATATGAAGTTTCCAACAAAAATGTATGAAATTTCAAATAAAATTATATAAAATTTAATACAAAAATGTGTTAAATTTCAAATAAATGTATATAAAGTTTCAAACAAAAATGTATGAAATTTCAATTAAAAGTGTATGAAATTTTAGATAAAATTTTTATATTAAATTTAAAGAAAAGTGTTTGAAATTCTAAATAAATGTATTTAAAATTTAAATCAAAAAATTTGTATTAAATTTCAAAAAATGTGTTGTAAATTTAAAAAATTGTATGTGATAATTGCTTCACACACTTTTGTATAAAATTTCGGTCAAAAATTTTTAACAGTGTAGTGTTGATTTCGGGTTTAATATATATTACAAAAATTTGTATATGAAAATAAGTCGCACTGATTCAAATATGTATATTAAATGGAAAAAAAAATCTTCAGCTGAAACAGCGTTAAGTTTCACTGCAACAGCGATATATATTTTCACTAAAATATGCTAAAGTTTTCGCGCTATTCTATAGAGAAACATATCGCTGTTTTAGATAAAGATTTTTTTTCCCGTGATAAATAATGGAAATTTTTTGCCATGGCCCAGATCAGAGCCGGATCTGATGTCCGCTCAATTAGGAAATGAAATGCCGCTCCTGATGTGGCCCTGATTAGGAAATCCGCATATATTTTCTTGTCGCTCTGATATTGGGCATGGCGTTTCATTCCCTACTAGGGCCCTGGTATGCCAATTTATACACGCGGGGAATGAAACAAAACGTTATAATTTTGTTTTAATATAATAAAATTTGCATTTTTAATCTTATTATAATGCCGCATATACAATGGAGAAATATACGTAAGTTACAGATATTTACATGTCACTTACGTATATATGCGTTTTTCCGTTGTAGGGCAGTACTAACAAAAATGACTTTTTAACCTATAGTGTACTAAAAAAAACATATTTTATAATCCTAATTTCATGGTTGTATTTTCAGTATTTGTTTTCAATCCGCGTAATAGTGATATACACAAAGCCATAGTAAAGATTCTTGGTTAATTGCGGAATCTGATATATATCTGTTTCGAATTTGAAAGCCAATCAAAATACGTCTACTTTTAATAATAATAAACATAATAATATTAATAAAAAATAAAATAATAATAATAATTAATAACAATTGTTATTATGTTGAAAAAAATTTGGGAACAGATTGGATGAAATTTGGAACAATTGAAACTGTAATGAATCATTAATTGCGCTTTTTTTTTTTAATACGGTGTCGAAAATTTTCAACTATATATATCGAACGATGTTTCTGTGTACGGGTCAAGGATCGTATATATATAAAGGGAGGGAAAATAACGTCTCGGCGAAAACGACGAGGCGGGTGATAAATTGTGACGGTTTGTCTGTTAGTGCGAGAGGCTTTCGCGGAGCAGTTTCGACGAGCCAATGGATGCGGGATGAGGCGAGGGAGCGAAGGAAACCGCGGTAAAGTAGGTGCGCTCTTCTTCAAAGGTTACACCGACATCTACTCGACCGTCGGTCCCGCTCTTAACTTCTTCCTCCTCCTTTCTCCTTCTCACCCTCTTTACTTCTACTTCACAACTACCTTCTGACTGTATCTCTAGAGTTCTCCGACTCTCTCTCTCTCTCTCTCTCTCTCTCTCTCTCTCTCTCTCTCTTACTCTTTAGCAATGTCTCGCTCTGCTAACTTTTCGCCCGCACCGCTGCTGCCAAGCAAACCTACTGAGTGGTGCAAAAATAAGAGCCGCGCGCGGTTAACTGTCTTACGCACAATGTTTTTTTTTCTTTTCTTATTTAAATATAAGGCAATGTAATCATGAGTGGACCACGTTTTGTTTTTCGTGTATATTAACTTTTTTTTTTTATGTATACTCTCTAAATCTGTATTAGTCACTTTTGACTAATTCAATAGCAGCGATTTGTTTATTAAAATGAATTAATAACAGTAATGATTAATTTTTAGTCAAAATGACTAATTTATTAGTTAAACTAATTTGTAGGTTATGTTACATGACTAAAAGATTAGTAGATTTATGTCTACTAAATATTTTAGTAATTTTTTTTTACAAATAATTAGTAAAATTTGACTGTTAAATTAGTTACTAAAAATTAGTTATTTTCTATACTAATTGCGAAATAGGGCCGATTCGTTCACGGTTTGACTGTTAATTAGTAGTTTTCTACTAATTCAGATTTAGAGAGTATAAATAATTATAGTTAACTTCAATACACCATTAAATAAGTATATAGTGAGTAAAACTATAGGTTACAGAATTTTTTTTTACTGCCATAGAAAAATTTTCTCGACGCATTTTTTAAAAAGTCTTTTTTACCGACTATTTCCGTCAAAATTCATTAAATATAAAATTTAAATATTTATTGAATTATTTTTCTTCGAAAAGCAAAAAGATACATATTTTTAAGCACTTTTGGAAAATGAGATCCCAAAAATTTTTCCCTATATATACTTTGCGTTTTATTATTTTTTCAATCACTTGTTCTGAAAACAAATATATGCGCACCTATTACAATAAACATTTTTATGCAATAAAACCTTTATTACATATGTATTTTTCTAATTTTCTATTTTCTTTTATGTTTCAGGTGAGTTAACACTACTGTTTGGGTATAGCATTGGTTTTCATTATATATAAGGTATAGTAAGAAAAAAAAATAATACTTTTAAATCTTTTGCCGACGAAATTTTTATATAAATTACGTATGGTTTCCATGGCAACCGTTACCATGACAACTGTTTCCATGGCAACCGTTTCTATAGCAACCGTTTCCATGACTATACCATTACCATAGCAACCATAGCAATTCACAAATAATGTAATTATAAATTATTTATTATATATACAAATAACTTTTGATTTGAATTTAAAAAGCCACGAAACCTTTGATGTAGACGCTTTGCGCCTGCTTCTTTTCCTGATTTTTTTTAATATATTACTCTCTAAATCTGAATTAGTAAAAATATTTACTAATTTGAATATTAGTATGACTCACTTTTTGCTTCTGAATTAGTAAAATTTTACTAATTATTAGTAAGTTTTACTAACAATTAGTAAAATTTAACTAATTCTAAAGCAAAAAGTGAGTCACTAATTTAAATTAGTAAACATTTTTACTAATTCAGATTTAGAGAGTAAAAGAACCTATAATAAGAATTGTTTTAACTATAACATAACCTAAACTAATCTGTAGTTTAGATGAAAATTCTTCATTTATGTTGAAAAATTGAGTTTTTATGCTATAAGTTATATAAAAAAATATTAGATTTAAAATAAGTACGATTTTACCCCTGGATATAAAAAGTTACCTCTTTTTAGTCATAGAGGGGCAATTATATAAACCCTAGGGAGTAAAATAGTCATTTTTACATCCAAAAAATAATTATTATTATTACTACAATATTAATAATAATAATAATAATAATAATAAAAATAAAAATAATAACAATTATTATTATTATTATTATTATGTATGGGACACAGATTAATCGTGTAATCAAAAAAAAGAACGTTTATAAATTTATATAGTATAAAAACTTTGATAGAGTCCAGTCTGTGTGTTATCAAATATTGCAATTTGATAACCTTTAGATATTTTTTTCTTAACACTATATATAGACAAGTATAATTTTTGTCATTATGTCAATATTTCAAACGCTACCAAAACGCGTATACCTTAAAATAAGATACTTCTTTTTACAGTGGAATTTTCAATTTAACATAAATTTTTGACATAACCAAAATGATTTATATAATTTTTTTTTTTTGTTTCTTATTAGAAAAAAAATTACCAAAACCTGTAAATCACTAAATTATGATAAAGTTTAATTATAAACAGAATGCGTCTTGAATATAAAAACTTATTTGTTATAGAAATAAAATATTATTATATCCATAATAGAATTAATGATTGCGGTGTATATTTAAAAAAAAAAATTTTTCCTTCAATTCAAACCCGTGCATAAATTTTGCCAGGGTCCAGATCAGGGATATGGCCCTGATTTGGAAATACAAATTTCCTGGTCGCACTGATTTAGCCCTGATCGTATGTGACGTTTTATTCCCTATTAGGGCCCTGATAGGGACTATTATATTATATTATTCTTGAAAGATTTCACTAAAAAGTATATATAATTGACACACTGAGAGAAAAGATTGGTTGGGGTTACCATTTTTAGTTAGTAAACTATACTGCTGCTAATTTATTAGTTATATATATGGTTAGTATTCTTATTGTTTGGCATAACTATTTTATTAGTTGGTTTAACAAATTAGTTTGTTAGAATAACTATATTTAATTTTACCTTACTAACAAAATGGTTAGGCTGACTAACTAAATGGTAACAGTAACTAATATAAATTAGCAAAAATACTCTAACTAACGAAATGGTAATCTCAACCAATCGTTTTTCTTAGTGCAGATATTTCAGCCCTGCTTGCATTTCCAAACCTGATGATCATGCCTG